TATTTAATTATGCGCTCCCCTTTAGTGTGGAAAGAAAAATTATTTCTCCTTCCACTTTCTTCTTCTCTATCAATCTTCTTACAGTCGAGGCATTCCGCTATTTTATGTAGGTAACTTTCCCCACTTAATATCAGTGCCCCTCTTCTTGTATAGAAGTTTGACTTTTTGCAGCCATTTCTTTTCTTTCTCCTTCCTCGTTCTAACTTTCTAACAGTTGAGGCATTCCCCTATTTTTATAGGTGTCATCCTCTACTAAAATTTAGGATCCCTCTCTGTGTGTAAAAGTTTAGAATTTTTGCAGCCATTCATTTTCTTCTCATTGAGTCTTCTTCTTACATTGGAGGCATTCCACTGTTGTTGATAGGCGACATTCTCCTATCGAGCTTTAGTGCCCCTCTCTTATGTAGAAGGAATTTTTTTTTCTCCTTTATCTTCACTTGCGGACTTCTTTTTACATTGAAGGCTTTCCACTGTTATAGATAGGAGGCATTCCCCTATCAAGCATCAGTGCCCCTCTCTTGTGTAGAAGGAGTAGCAATGAGAAGCTATATTCTTAAAAGATGATCCTTGATAGAAGAAGACAATTGCTGCTTATATGTGAGGGTGATTTGAGAAGATCTAGCGACAATAATGTTCAGGAAGAGAACTAGAAGTGACAAGTAGACGGGGAGAATTTCAATGCCATTTGAGCGAAAGTCTGTTGGCAATGGACAACCGAGTTGAAATCTGTTGGCAGTCAACGACCAATGTAGAGCTGAAGGAGAAAGTTCGAGGGTGTGTTGCAAGTAGCAATTGAGGGAGAAGCTGATGATGGCCGATATGAAGTGAAGGACCATTGGCAAATATCAGACAAAGGGCCGATGATGGCGGGAGTCAAATGACATTTTACTATTTCAATATGTATCCATATTGAAATGTACGAATATTAGATATCCTTTATGAAGTGGTGTACACTGTCAGCATTCTAGAGAAACACTAATAGTGTCAATTTGAGTTAAGGTCTGATAAAGATCAAATTTTAATCTTTTTTTGAAGAAGAAGTTATATGAGATGCTTATGTGCATTAGAGAAGAAGTCACTTAAATCCACTAAGAATTTTTGACTGTTTTGAAGTTGATTGTTGCTTGATGATAGTAGTTTATAAAATAGATGTCAATATACTTTTTAATTTTAAGTTCTTGTGAGAATAAATATAAACTTGAATATGAATTTATGTAACTCCATTGATGTTATATATGAAATTGAGAACTTGTCCCTTGGAGGAAGTTGAATTGTGATTGCATCTTTAACATATGCTTTTGATATAATGCCTCCCATATTTTTGGAGGCACTGTTAGACTACCTAGATCTTTATATGAGTGATGATATTATCAATCACTTACTATCATGAAATCTTCATAGAGAAAATATTATTTACTCAGAGTGTTGCTCGATGATGCTGACCTCTATAAAAGAGGTTACGATAATCCACTAAGAATGTATGACCTATCTGAGGTTATATGTCAGAGCACTGCTTGATGACGTTAACATGTATGGAAGATGTTAAGAAAATCTAGGAAGGATGTGAGAACTATCCAAGGTTGTATGTCAGAGCCCTGCTAGATGACGTTAACATGTGTGGTAGAGGTTAAGAAAATTCATGAAGGACGTGAGACCTATCCAAGGTTGTCTATCAGAGCCCTGCTCGATGACATTAACCTATATAGAAGATGCCGAAAGAATCCACCAAGGATGTAAGACCTATCCGATGTTGTAAGTCAGAGCTTTAACTCGATGACGTTAACCTATATGGAAGAGGTCGAGAGAATTCACCAAGAATGTAAAACCTATCCAAGGTTATATGTCAGAGCTCTACTCAATGACATTAACCTGTGTGGAAGAGGTCGAGAGAATCCAACAAGGATGTGAGACCTTTTTGAGGTTGTATGTCAGATCCTTTGCTCGATGATGTTAACATATATGAAAGAGGACCAGAGAATCCACCAAAAAAGTAAGACCTATTCGAGGTTGTATGTCAAAGCACTTTGTTCAATGACGTTAACCTGTGTGGAAGAGGTAGAGAGAATCCACCAAAGATATAAGACCTATCTGAGGTTGTATGTCAGAGCCCTGCTCGATGATGTTAACCTGTGTGGAAGAGGTTAAGAGAATCCACCAAGGATGTAAGATCTATCTGAGGTTATATGTCAGAGCACTTTGCTCGATGACATTAACCTGTGTGGAAGAGATCGAGAGAATCCACCAAGGATGTAAAGACCTATCCGAGATTGTATGTCAGAGTACTTTGCTCGATGACGTTAACCTGTGAGGAAGAGGTCGAATCGAATCCCCCTGGGATCGATTTTTCCTTGATTGGGAGGGGGCAAACACCACGTGTATCCCGAATCAAAGGTAAAGAATGGTTTATCTTTAGACCATTACTACCTTTTTGAGGTCAAGATTAAGTCATTGCCCAAGAAGTAGAAGTCCATATATGGATTATATAAAGCTTGTAATTGATTGGATGTATCCTTATTATTGTTGGGATTTTTCTGAAATATCATCTTGATATTGAAAGCATTTGGAGGATCTTTTTGACCATGATGGAGTCAAAGTTGCCCCACAGTCTGCATCTGTTTCTTATGAAATTGATACAATAATTAGTGATATCAGAAAGTTGACTTTAATGACCTTCTGATATTGGAGCAAAATTTGCCCCCATAGATGGTGTCAAACTGTTGCGTCCTGGAGTATTCGTGACGGTAGAGAAATATAAAGTTTAACATCTTAGCATTGCACGAAGATCCAGCATACAAGTAGATAAGAGAGAGGGTGTAGCGTTCATAAGAGACACCAAAGTTTTTACATGAAAATCCCGAAAAGGGAAAAAACCATGGGGCCTTGCCCAGTTTAAATGAATCCACTAGTCTTGCAGTTGATTACAAATGAGGCCCTTCCTTGGAGGAAGACCTTAACTTAATGTACATATTATAGAGTATATTACATATGAGAATACAAAGAATCATTGTTGACATATTCGTTTGGCCCAAAGGACTATAGTTGATGGGCGACATAAGTCGGAATGACCATAGTTGGTAGGCGATAGAGGTTGGAAGGACCGTTGTCTAGCGACAGGTGTCAAAAATGTTCGGAAAAAAATCTAATGACGGACAAAAGTTCAGCATCGGGGTAGAAATCTGGCAACAAGCGGAGGTCCGGCGTCCGGCGTTATATGGTATTCAAGAAAAATTCCAGAGTCACTTGGAGATTGGGTGGAATTCCAATGTTAGTTGGAAGTCGGGAAGAATTTTGGCATCACTTGGAAGTTGGGCGGAATTCCGGCGTCTCATAGAAGTCGAGCAGAATCCCGACGGTGGTCGAGGAGGAGTTTCTTCCCACATAATCTTCTCTTCTTCCTTCTCTCTTCTTGCTTCCGTCCCCCTCTCATGAGAAATGAGGGGTCTATTTATAAAAATTCTGGAGTGGCATGGCTTGTAAATAGGTGAGAGATTAGGGGTAAATAGGGAGTGATCGGATGGACGACCGATATTGAATCCTTTGATCGTGAACCGTTTGTCAGGAATTTGAAGGCCTTAATGATGTCGAAATTCGGTGATCTTAGGCTCGTTGGATTTGTCTCGTCGAGCCACTCGATTCAACTATAAGAATATCATATTTAGAAATCGTTTGACAACTCAAATTGTGGTTTGAACTTTCCAATAGCACTTCAGGTCCTTGATTTGGACTCATTTGGGCTCAGATTGAGTCGAATTTCATGTCGTTGGGTTCGTATTTCCGAGACGCTCAGTTTGACTATAAGTTTGCTGAAATTGGAGTTTAGGTAATCCCATATTTAATTTTTGAAATTTCCTGCTTGATTTTGCCTCAAGATTCATGCCCGATCAAGATAATTTAATGATGATACATCAAAGCTAATTATATTAATATTTAATTACTAATTATACACTTAAGTTAACATAGATAATTAATTTATGCACTAATTATACAATTAGTTATTTAATTAATTTACTTAATTATTAATAATTTACATTATATTAATTAAGTTAATCAATAATACATTAGGGCATCTCCAACCGAAAATCTCATTTTTCACTCCAAAATATAGTGAAACCAAAAAATACCGTGATTCAACTCCAATGGAATGCCATTTTGCCCCGTAAACGTTCGTTCTCTTTATTTGCGCCTTTTTCCCAAAGCTTGGTAGAGATAAAAGAACAACGCAGATGAACAGTGTGACGCCAATATTGGTGTCACACTGTTCATCCGTGATCAAATGACGTCAAAAATGACGGTCGGTTGGAGCAAAGCAAGAACGACAAACAAGTGTTTGTTGTTCCATTGGAGTTGTCTTAGAGGCGTCAAGGGTTTTGCCTTTCATCTTCTCTTTTTTTTTTTGTTGTTGTTCGGCTTCATTGCTTTGCATAGGTGTAGAGATTGCAGGCGTCGCTTTTCGGCTCCTTCGTGTCTGTTCGACTTCGCTCCTTCGATAACTTTCCCTTCCTGTCGGATCGGAAGTTATGACGTTTTGATCGGAAGCAAGAACGGGACCTCGCTGGCTGTGAAGGTAACTTTCTCTCTTTCGTACGTTTCTTCAGCTAAATCTAGTTAAATCCGTCCAACCGAGGGATTTAGTAAATTTAGGATTTAAGCCGTAAATTCGTAAATCCGGGATTTAACGCGCGCTAAAAAACTGTTTGGCTAGATTTAGCCTAAATGTGACTTAAATCCCTAGGATAAATCCTATACCAAACAACCCTAAAAATTAAACATTTTTATAAATATTGTCGTATCGAATGTTAATAAACCTCCCGACTGATCCCATTATTATCAGCCCACTGAATAGTTCGGCATATCATTAAAATATATTAATGGACTCGTCTCTGTGATCGCAACGTGGCATGTTGGCGGCTGTGCTTGGCGATTTATTGCACCGTAGGGGAGTTTGCGAGAAATACGCCAACGCCAATAGTGCTTGATTTTTTTTTTGTTTGAAGACAGTTGGAGCCTTAATTGATTTGTAGCTACTGCCCATCTTTGTTTTTTTTTTTTTTTTTGCGAGAAAATCTGTTCATCTTTCATACTTATCTCTCTAGCGGCCCTAGGAAAAGGCGGATCTTGGGAGGTGACTTTTTTTTTTTTTCTGATTTTTTTGCTGAAAAATAGACGTATAAAATTAACATATATTTCGATTTTCACGTGATACATTTCTGTTTTGATCTTTCCCTACTTAATAGCTCTGCCCCATCCACACCATTCTGGTGCAATCTAAACTTTCGATGTTTTCTAGGTGCTCATTTTTAGCTTATGTAGGGGAAAATCTGTTTGCTTTTATCTAATTTCAACGATAGAGCTAAAAAGACTGTGATTTGATTTTCATATTCTTTTGTATTTCATATGGGATTTGGAAAGCTTCTGCTCTTCTGACTTTGAAGAACTGATTTTCCTGTTCTTTAGAATATGCGAATCCTTTCGTGTGTGCACAAATGGTTTTGTATTTATTTTGTTTTAAATCCATTTGTATTGGCTTCTTAGGTCTGAGTTAACTGGTTAGCAACCTAACCTACAATCCATGGCTTCAGCAGCAGCTCATGATGAATTGAAACCAAGAGGTACGTGTTTTGACAAATTGTTGAACTACATGATCCAGTTAAAGGATTTTAGATCCATGGAGTAGTTGGAATGATCTCTTGTGATACTAAAAAAACAACAACAAACCTTTATTCCACTACGTGGGGTTGGCTATATGATTTTTTTTTTTTGTTGTGTCCTATTAAGAGTCAAATCCTAATTTAAATTTAATTTAAAAAAGGTCATTTCCAATATTTTCTAGCTAAGTCTTTTTAGGTCTACTATACCTTTCTTACCATAGTCCAAATTCAATACATCTACTCTCATAACCGGGTCATTGGAAGACTGATGTTTTATGTGTTCAAACCATCTAAAGGGGCTCTCTCTAATCTTATCTGCCACTGGAGCTACTCCAACCTTTTCACATATGTTGGTTTCACATTTTATCACTAAGAGTGAAGCCACTCATCCACTTAAGCATCCTCATCTCTGCAACACTCAACTTAATTTTATGGTTCTCTTTTAATGGCCAACATTCTGCGCCATAAAGCATTGCAGGTCTGACCTCCATCTTATAGAATTTTTCTTTAAATTTGAGGCTACTTTTCTATCACATCACTGACCTGATGCATTACTCTACTTCAAACATACAACTTGAATTCTACTAATAATATACCCATATATTTCGCCATCACTTTGAACAATAGACCCAAGATATCTAAAATACATACTATGATTACTAACTTGATCACCCAAAGTTAAAATCCCCCCATTAGATCTATTACTATTAAGATTGCACTCCATGTATTCAAAATGATCTCTTGTAATGAATTGATAAAATATACATACAATTTTGTTACACAAAGTTAGGGATTAAGGTTAATGATGATTATCATGTTACACAAATGGTGATTGATATGGATCATTTTATGTATGATTGACATTTTTGAGCCATTGTTTTGCTTATATTATAGGAAGAGTATTGACAACTTTGTTGGTTGTCTTAGATGTTTGCATTGTCGGCATTGCTCGCACACCCATTGGAGCCTTCCTTGGTTCATTGTCATCTTTATCGGCCGTAAAACTTGGATCGATAGCCATTGAGAGTAAGATGACTATCAATGATTGCCTATTTTGTTTTGTTGAGCCTGATAACTATGATAAACTTTTTTTAAAACTTTATAGGTGCTTTAAAAAGGGCAAATGTTGATCCATCACTTGTACAAGAAGTTTATTTTGGGAATGTTTTGAGTGCAAACTTGGGACAAGCTCCTGCCAGGCAAGCTGCGTTGGGTGCTGGAATACCAAACAATGTTGTCTGCACAACCATTAACAAAGTTTGTTCATCTGGAATGAAGGGTGGGACTTAATTCCTTGTTTGTTTTAACAATTAATTGATGTATTTGAAGTTCCTTAATCCATGCAAATTCTCTATTTACAGCAACAATGATAGCAGCACAGAGTATTCAATTGGGTATTAATGATGTAGTTGTTAGTGGTGGTATGGAGAGCATGTCGAATGCCCCAAAGTATTTAGTAGATGCAAGGTTTGTCTCATTTATCCTTCATATATTTGCCTCTAGATTATATCTTTCTGGAAGGTGTTATGTTGAATCATAAAAATAAAAAAGAATTATGATTCAACAAATTGATATCTAGAGAAAAGTAAAAGAGAGGTCACGAGAAATTGAAAAATCTTTTAAAGAACTTAAAGAAGCTGGAAATTGACAAACCCAAAGGCAGCCATGATTGTTTCATTGCGTTTATTTCACATTCTTGATGTTGGCGAGACTGACTGCCACATGCGTAATTGCTGGCTAAAAGTTTTTGGTGTTTAGATGCAGTTGGTTGCTTACAGCCAGCACCTGAATCCTTGTGCCCACCTTTCTAGAAATGCAAAATTGTTGGCCGAGAGTCATATTGTTGTTCCCCTTGGTGGCTGAGAGCTCCTGCCATTACTCCATCCTACATCCGCCTATAAGCAGTGATACTACAAGTCTACAACTGCTCTGCACTTGCAACCACCCTTATCTAATCCTCCTAAAAATAACTAGATTTTAGTGGATTGATTGTAGCAATGTAGTACGACCTTCCTTTTCATCTTGATGGACCGGCCAATTTGATTAGGAGGGAATTAGGAAGTTTCCTAATTAAGAGGGAGTTGTTTAGGAATGTTCTTAATCAAAGGAGAATTGTTAGGAAAGTTTTAATTATAATTGAGAGCGAATTATTTGGAGAAAGATATTTGATTTGAATTCAAATATGGGGGAATTATTTAGGGAAAGGGGGCTGATTTCGGAGGGAATTAGGGGAGTCTATTTAAGGCTAACAATAGGATTATGTTTCAAGTTTGCTGAAATTAGAATTTCTTAGGTTGTAAGGTCTCTAGCCGCCGGCTAGGGATTTGGGTGAGCCGGATCTTCCTTTCCAATTGAAGATCCAATTGTATCTTATTGTTTTCTTTCATATATCTTGAAATAAAAAGAGTTTGGGTTTGTTCTTCTTCCTAATTTATTATTGTCATTTGTTGATTTCGAGGAAGTTATATCCACTTACTATCGAATTGGCATCAGAGTGGTTACCGGGGTTGAAATTTAAGTCTTACTCGCTGATTTCTGCTGCATTTTCTCTACATTTTTGCTGATTTTTGCTATTTGAAGTCCAAATTTGCATAAAATTGCTGTTTTTTGCTGTTTGGAACCTAGATTCGGGTACCTATGGCAGGAAAACAGGCAAAATTGTTGGAAGAACAGATCAAACCATTGAAATCTAAAATTTTCAAAACTCTAAACTAAAATATTAGCCGTCCACAAGATGAGCGATGGAAAATTTATCATCATAGAGGAGATGATGAAGAAGTTGCTCGAGGGCTAAACTAAAATGATGTCATCAGAGGCGAAGGAAGTCACCGACAGCCGAGAGAGCAGGGAAAAACTCTAATCCGATAAGGAGAATGGAAGAATAAGAGATGTTGATCTTAGAGGAAGAAGAGAGAAGACTTCCTTTAGAGCTTACTCATAGTGAGGAAACTGGTAGAAGGTATGGGGAGAAGCGTGAGGGGGTTGGGCATGAGCGAAAGGGTGCTGAATTTGAAAAGAGAAGGGGTGGATTATGATCGAAGGAGTGCTGAATTTGAAAGGAGAGGAACTGATTATGATCGAAGTGGTGATTACTTTGAAAGGATAGGGACTGCTTATGATTGAAGGGTTGTTGAATTTGAAAGGAGAGATAGGATTTTGACGAAGGGTTTGGGTTTGAGCATAGAATGGATGATTGAGACACATGGGGGAACCACCCCTTGGGGAATGAGAAATTATGAAGGAAACAGGGGAACAGAGGGGATCCGAGGGTGATGAAGTTGAATATGCCTATTTTTTAGGGAGATGATACACACGGGTGGATCTACAGGGTGAAAATATACTTTATCTTCAATAGGTTGACAGAGAAAGAGAGACTAATTGCAACTGAATGTGCTTGGAGGTGAAAGCTTTGGCATGGTACCAATGGAGAGATACGAGGCAGCCTGTACGGTCTTGGAGGGAGTTTAAGAACTGCTCGTTGGAACATTTTTGAACCAACAGGGGAGGAGACTTTCATAAGCAGTTCCTCAATCTAACGCTACAGGGGATAGTGTTGGAGTACCGTGAACAATTTGAGCCTCTAGCCAGCTGACTGGACTGGCTTCTAGGGAATATAGGGGAACTTTTTGAAAGAACTCAAACTAGATTGTAGATGAGCGGTGAATGGTTTGAAATATGTTAAAACGAGAATTTGAGAGGGAAAACCTTGAGCTTTATTAAGCAATCTACTCCCTATTTATAGATCTATACAAGATGTATTGATAAGGAAATAAATAATTCTATAATAATGAGAATACAATTATTCCTAAATCAATGGAAGGAATTAATGCTATCCAGGTAGTCTTCCCACGGATTACTGTTCACAGCCGTAGATTTCTTTTGGATCGTGAGGTTGAGATTTAACACTCCCCCTCAAGCTGGGAAATATGGATCCGTCATTCCCAGATTGTCAATCATTCGGAGAAAGGCAGAACTGTTCAATCCTTTAGTAAGGATATCTGCAAGTTGATCCTTTGATGATACATGGTCAACACTTACTAGACCACTGTCTAGTTTTTCTTTAATAAAATGTCTGTCCACTTCTATGTGCTTGGTTCTGTCGTGCTGGACTGGATTGTGGACTATGCTGATTGTTGACTTGTTGTCACAATGTAGTTTCATGGGCTCATCCCACTTAACCTTTAAATCTTCTAGGATTATCTTGATCCATAGTAGCTCACATATTCCCAATGCCATAGCTCGATATTCTGTTTCTACACTGGATCTTACCACCACATTCTGTTTCTTGCTTCTCCATGTAACTAGGTTACCTCCAAGAAATGTG